CCCCCCCCCCCCCCTCCACCCCCACCCCCTACAACTAAACCAATAAAAAGAGACGTTAAGGAATCTGCCCAATCACTGCAGTAAACAGTAACTGTTAAATGCAAGAAGCAGGAAAGGAGAATCTCACAACTTTCTCCAGACATCATGCACACCTGGATCAAAATTTCCGGTCTCTTGATGGTGCTATTTAGCCTTCTTAGCTATATTCACTGCGATAACAGTCAGTACCGACGGTGAGTTATTCGTTTTCGTAATTTGCATAATTATAAACTCCAACCTTCTGTGCAAAAAGTTGGGTAGGTGGGGGGGGGGGGGGGGGGGGGACGGGGGGGGGNGGGGGGGGGGGGGTGGGGGTGACAGGTGGAGGCTGAGGAGTAAGGAATAAAGTCATTTAGTGAGATCATTCTTATAATACAACTCTAGGGTTAGCATGAACGCCAATAAAGCAAATGAGCTTCGCCTTAAATAATTGTTTCCAACACTTTTCAATGTGGGTCTGAAGAGTTATATGAGTCATTTTGAAATGGGGCTAACATTTGGCCAACACGTGTACTTATATATATATTTCTGATATCGCTTCTTGATTTCCTTGGAATCGGTTACTTCATTTACAAAGATAACATTTCATTAGAGAACCTATTTATCCATTGTATTTTAGTAATCGAATTTACAGACTGCGAGTTCCGGAGGAGAAAATGAAAGTCTTCGCAGAGGCTCTCCAAAGGGGAGAAGCCGATGGCAAATATGACATTCTTCGTATAACGCGACGATCAGAAGATTTCATTGATGTGATGGTTAAACCATCAAGTCTTAAAGACCTCAAAAAACTCATTCAGGAGTACAAAGTCCAGGCCTATATCACTAATCACGATGTTGAAAGGTATGCAAAAAAATATACATTGCATTTACAAATGATGGTATTCAGGGATAGAAGAAAATATGAATAGCTGCTTGTAATTGCTTTTTTTCAGGTCAATCAGAGTTTTTAGCAGAGCAAATGAACGAGCAACTGCCAGGAATCGAGTTCGTCGTTCAATAAATGCACTTCCAACGCATATGGCTTATTTGCAATTTCATGAAGTAAGCATGTACTTGTATGCACAAATAGACAATAATGGCTCTGTATTTGATCACAAACATTTACTTGATCTATTCCCCCCCCCCCCCCCCATCTAAATTACACAATAACTTAGTTTAACGGATAGCTTTAGAGATCATAGTTGAGGTGAAATCCTATTCAAAGAATAATCCTAAGGTAAGAAGAGAGCCAAAACCTTTCAAATATTCCACAATAAATATTTTTTTCCTAATTTGCCCTAAATCGCTTCATAATGCGCAGGACATTCAAATTGCAAGGTCAATAAATTAATGAGTGATAAAAATAAATATTTGAATGTAGGGGCAAATGATTGCCATTGTCTTTTATTTAGAGACATTTATTTATTAAATTCTATGTTGGTTGATTTATCTGCTCAATGAATGCAGATTTGCCCAAAAAATGTAGGAGTAGATTTTGGATCAGTTGAATTTGAGTTTGGTTGATCCCATTTTAAATTATGTTTACCAATTAATAGAATTTAGTGATACAATTCAAGTGAAATGTAATGACTTAAGAAGCATCTTTTGTTCTTAATTCATGCCGAGGTCATCCATCAATAAATGAATAGTGATTTCTAAAATTTATTTCAATTCCCCATATAATTGTTTCTTTTATTGAATAACGTATAATTGACTCTGATTTACTTTTATTTCCACGTAAGTGCCTAACTATATGTAAGTCGATAGAAATCTTCATTTTTACACTTCTTCAATTGTAGTTGGAGGAGGTTTTGAAAACATTTGATCGATTATTTGTAAATGCTTCCCTTGAAGAAATCGGAAAAACCGTTGAAAATCGATCACTTTGGCTTATGAAGGTAAGATTTGTAAGGTTATTGAGAAAATGTTGACTCGTATACTTTAATATTTATTTATATCAAATGGCCGATTTTATGATAGGCATAATTAGCCCTTTAGTTTTCTTCGAGCTTCGCAGGGGGGAAGAATAGACAAAGTCACAGAAGTGGAGGGGGGGGGAGGGAACAGAAGACTGATTCGCAAATGTTAAGTGATTGACACAATGGTAGAGATAAAGGTAAAGTGAGTATTGTGAAAGTGGTTGAATATAACTACATGCAGGCTGGTCATGGTAGTTTAAAGTTCACTTTTTTGCCGTATGAATAGGCTTTGCCCAAGGTGCACTACGTGGAGGTAAGTTTAAATACTTTTATATAGTTCAGTGAAAACTCATTAAGTTGTAATCTAACATGGCTTACCCGAAGTGCATCGCACAGGATAAGAAAGTGGAAATTGTTCACATTAGCAAAGGGAAGGGAGAGTATTATATGATGGAAACCTCTTAGCAAATTAACTGGAGTGATATTTGACTTAGCAATGTGGATGCGTCCAAGGTTGAATGTAGTGGGATTCACTAATTAGGCGGCAGGATGTTAAGTCAGGGCAATGCCTGATGATGACTAATTCTTAACTTTACCGAAATTGTGCACACTAAGGTTTGTAAATTAATGTGTTAGTCGTGAATAGTTAGTTTAATAATGTTTATGCCTTTGCTTAAGTAAATGCTTCTGTTACTGGGACATGACACCATTTTTCACCAATAAGGGAGACTCTCTTTTGTGATACAAGTTAGGTTTCTCAGACGTTGTGTGAAATTTCATATTTGTAATATGGAATAAGCCATAACTGCATTGAGAGGTTATTTTTTAACAGTTATTTAATTTATATTTACTTAAGGAATGACGGGATCTCAAGTATTGACCTTTATGTCCTTTTAGATATCACAGAACTCTTCTCTTCCTATTGTTTGGATCGATGCAGGCATACATGCTCGAGAGTGGATTGCTCCTGCAACTGCCCTCTACCTCATTGATAAGGTAAAAACTCTCCTACCATTTTGAACGCTAACACTTGAAAATTAGGTTCCTTGTGCTCACCATGTAAGCAGCTTACTCAAGTCAGGTGAACGTGACATGACTTATCTGTTCATCATCTATCATGAGAAGGCTCATAACAGAACCTCATGCAGAGGGCTGAGTTAATCGATGGGGAAGTGGGAGGGGGGGATTGAGGGATGAAGGTGCGTATATTTGGGAAATGGGAACCGGAGTACTTGAAGGGGAAAGGTGTATGCGTAGGAATATGAAGGCTTTGAACAACAGTGGGGTTGAAAGAAGTACCTAAAAATGACCATTTAAAGTAGGTGTAAGATATTCCTCCGATGCTATCACCGATTTTTCCAAATGAATGCACCATAAAATTTCAATTTCAACATTTCACCAGTTATTAAAACAGAGGCAACATTCACCTAATGAATGCATAGTAAATAGGACTGTAGTCGATTGTTATCTTTTAAATCAAACTTCGGGAAGTACCCAGATAGCTGCAAATTAAAATTTGATAAAAACAGTTTTATTTTCTTTCTGTGTCACCGACAATGATTTGAAGGATTTCTATATCTTAATCACGCTTTAGTATTTTAAATTTCCTAAGGGAAGGGAAGGTGGTCAGTGTTCAAGCTTCTACAAACGTGGCAGGAATTAGACAGAACTATAGCGAACAAGTACTTGTTTCAGAAAAAAGGTGCGAGAGGGCGTCTAATTCTGGAGTGTCATAATGAATAGAGTGTAGCCAAATATGTGGCACACGTTGGCGTGGACAATGCGAAAACGAATGATATGAAAGTGGAAGAATGAGGTGGATCGAAAATCAGGTCAAGTAATCACGATTAATATTATACCAACAGATTAATAATAGTGTTGGAGCGTTACTAAGGGGTTAAAACGAGCTGCTAATAATTACTTAAATGTAGTAAATAGTATTGCATTACACATTTCAGCTTCTCTCAAAGGATGGCTATGAATTACTCAGCAAATATCAATTCTACATAGCTCCTAACGTCAATCCTGATGGCTATGTTTTCAGTCATACAACGGTGAGAACATTTATTGTCCTTATATTGGATTGAATGAACTTAAAATTGCAATGACCTGCTGCATTTTGTCAATGTAGAACCGATTTTGGAGAAAGAATCGCAATAGGACAGAGTATGAGAATTGTCCCGGTGTTGATCTTAATCGTAATTTTCCTTATAAGTGGGGTAAGACAATTAGCTGATTTCATATACTTTTCGCACCTTTTTTCAACATGAAGCTATGCTCTTGGCGGATAATTCGGACTATATATGTATATAACGTTTACCTTTCGGAGCTTACAACGCTTGACTATTATAAAGGGAATTTGGGTAGTTTTCTCCCGAATCCAAGCGTGATACTAGGTTAGCACGCAAAGTTCCCATAGAACGGTTAACTCAGTCCTGGAATTGGTAACGTCATCTCCACTCCTTAACTTATTGTTGTAGTTAGAAATGGTAAGATATAATCAAATTGAGTTCATTCATGGTGGTTCTTTGGGAGATTTTTTTACTGGCGATATGAAAATTAAAAATCACTAATACGGTAGCACAACATTAGTCTTCTTCGTGGCGAGAGAGAAAGAGAGAGAGAGAGAGAGAGAGAGAGAGAGAGGGGGGGAGAGAGTTGAAGAAGAGCCTTGACAGACCACGGAACAGAAGGATAAGAAAGGCAAGTAGGAAGTTCGCTTTATTGGCCTGCAATTTACCCGGAAATTTTCATTCTGGAACACCAATCACTGAGAGATAATGATATTTCCAATGAATCGAGCGCGGCAGTATTATTGATCGTTGTGGTCAATTTTTGGAATATAGGTTCAAAACTAGTGCAACAGCATTTCCACTATGATTGAAAAGCTTCTACGAGGTGTCAGATACCATTATCATTAATGCTTTGAGATGTTGACGTGATGAAAACTACAGTACTTTAAAATTCACTGATATTTTTTCGAAATAAAGGACTTTCTGGATCATCAGGTAATTCCTGCAGTGAAATTTACCGAGGCAGCAGTGCAGCAGACCAAGCGGAAACGCGGAGTATAATTAGAAAACTTGCAGCAATTGCACCACAAACCAAGCTCTTTCTTACTCTCCACTCATACGGCCAGTTGGTTTTGATACCTTTCGGCTACCTACCAGCCCAGCGACCTGACAATTATAATGAGTTGGTAAGATTGTAATTTTCATACTCTGTTCTACTGTAACCAGGCCTGTCTTATCAAAATGTCATCATGAGTACAAAATGAGAATGTTGTTTGATGAGAGGCTCCAACCGTAAGAACACCGACAGTAAACAAGATTTATTTACTTCAAATGGCAGGCATTTTGATTATTATCATTAGCCCTTTAGATGACTTCGGGCTTCCCAGAAGGGAGGAACATTAAAGTGAGAAGAAATGATAGGGAGAAAAGAAGAGCGATTCACATCAAAGTGACAAAAAGTCGAGAGGGTGGACAGAATAATGATTTAACCCTTTAGCTGACTTTGGGCTTCACAGAGAGGAGGAGGAAACACATGTAAAGGGGACAGACAGACGTAAAGGCAGAGAAAAGGCTAGATGCGTTCTGTGGAAGGGGTCGAATATGACATGCAGTCGGGCCATGGTAGTTTGAAGTCAGAGGTCAACTGCCAGTTAATAGACTTTTTTGCCGTATGAGTATACGTTGCCCAGGGTGCACCACGTGGAGGTAAGTCTATCGCACACCCCACAGTAAACAAGATAAATTTGTCAAACCTAGCCCATCTTACCAATTTCCCTTTAGTAAGATAGACGGGGAGCTGGTGGGAGGGGTGGGAGCAGAGACAGTGACAGTGTACAATTATAGCCTAGTAACTCCCAACTCGAAGAAAAAACAATATGTCAGGGTAGGGTCAATTAGGTAGATGTTATAGAGAATAAAGGCTGAAAATATGTCTAAATGATGAAGGAGTGGTAAGAAAATTGGTAAAATGGGAATGCGACCGTAAAATGTTGTATAAATGCCACGGGTATAAAAAGTTTTACTAAACGGAACTTCACAAAACCTGATTGAGGAAATTAGAACCAATTTATTGTGGCCTAAGCAAAGGTGAAAAAGAAACAAAAAATGACAAATGTGGTCTTAAATTTACGAATTCGTTACTTTAGTTTGTCCACAAACTGTTTTCATAATTGAATTCTGTCTAAAATGACCTAACTGACAGCTAAACAGTAGTAAACCATATACTTTTTTCTTGGGGCGAATGGAACACTTAAAATAAATATATAAATCGATATTATGAGATGTCATTCTAACTTACATAACGTAATAAGTGATGATATTCTCTTTAAATTTGAATTTGATCGATGTCCTATGATACAAGGCACCTAGTGATCAAGAGGTTGATGTTAGTGAGACGGCTTTAACATTCGAAATGTAGTTTAACAGCTGAGTTTTTTTACTTCATTTTTACATTCAACGACATTAGATACAAATAAATTTGGTGGATACTTTCGAATATCTTGCCGGTCTCCTTGCATTCTCATTCATGCCTTCATAAGTAGAGGCAATAAGGATATATTCCTTTTTTTGTAGAAACGAGCCTCAATTAAAGTTATTTTTAAACTCTGGAAGAATCACAATACCGTCTATTCATCGGGAACAGCTGCTGATATTTTGTGTAAGTTCGGTTCATTAATTTTAGCGGAAAGCGTCTGTAAACGCATTTTATGACCGAAAATCCCTATTACCTCTTTACTAACACTAGTAAGTTGCTTGTATGCCTTTCAGATTCGGCTGCAGGTGGCTCAGATGATTTCGCTCGAGGAGCCTTGAATATTCCTTATGCTTACACAATAGAATTACCGGATCTCGGAAGCTATAACTTCTTACTGCCACCATCCTTTATCATTCCAGTGGGCAATCAAATCTGGGATGCCTTGAAAACTTTTACTGAACATATAAAGTAATAATATTTTTAATCAAACGATCAGATGTCAAATAAATAAGTGAAATTTTATAAATTAGGTCTTCCTTCGTTTATTGAACTCCCCAAAATACCGCATTACTGAACGAAAATACGTCAAGTGCCTTAAAGTTATGCATTCAAGTACTAGATGGGCCGCCTTGAAGCATTCTATAATGCCTGCTTGAGAATTACAACAATAAAATCCCAATGATCCAATAATAAAATATGTAATAAATCTTCTAAAATATAGGTTTTCAAGTTATTTTCTTTTCCCTGCTGATTAATTCTTTTTTTAAGGGGAGATTATATATTTTAAACTTATTAGTACAGATAGCAAAAGCGAATTTGACCATGGGTATATGGAACAACCGATTAGAAATGAGAGGAGAAAAGATGAAAAAAAGGGAATTGGAATTAGAACTTAGATAGCCAGCATGGAGAGAGGGAGG